AAGTGAATGAATTAGTAATCAAATGATGATTCATTTTGTTTTATAAATTGTTTTAACCAAATTTAAAATCAAACCTATTGAACTGTATTAAATTCAAACCAAACCAAACTTGAGCCGAACACAAACCAAACTAATTTCAGTTAAATTTTTATTAGAACTGAATTAACCAAATTGAATCGAACTAAAATCAAATATGAATTTGAACTGAAATTCCAACCCTTATCATTTGGACTATATTCTGAATTGGTCACATAAAGAGTCCCGATGCAGATTTAATGCCAACTTCAGTGGTTGATAATTGTATTATATTGTAATAAATACTTACCTTCCTACTATAAGAGCTTGCGGTAAATTGAATTTTGTGAAATTTCCACATAAAATATTATGTACTAAACTCTAAGTTCATTTCATTAACATAACTTTTCATCTCGTGAAATACTTATCATGTGGACCTATGTGATTCAAATTTGTGGAGTATATCATCCACGTAATTGTCACCATGCGTCCTAAATATCATTGACAACAAGGTTGTATCTCAGTTTTTTAATTTAAAGTTGTTCATTGTTTTCTTTTAGCAAATCTTAAAAGTCTAAAACAAGACTGAAACCTAAGACATAAACAACAAAGAAATGAATCAAAACCGAAGTGAAACCCTACTAGAAGTAAAACAACGTGTTCTATAAGGAACATGTGAATGTGTAAAACTTTTGATTAAATTTCTCAATCGATAATAATTCAGTATGTAGCCAACCAAAAGAAATACCGTGTTAAGCACCCGCTTAGCATCAGTATAACTGAATAAAATCTTCAATTTTATTTAAATCGGCCTGTTAGAAAGAATTTACATAGTTCTAGTTTGGTTTCGGATGAGTTATTTAAAATTCTTAAGGAAAGATCACACAATTTTGTGTGTTTTAAGATATAAACGAAAAAAAATTAAGAACACTTGTAAATATTTATATAGTGTACGTAGTTCAACAACCGAACAACACGATAAATCAATTCCAAAGAATGGAAGAAAGACCCATGCTTTTGAAAAAAAATTTAGCAACAACAACCTTCATTGTTTATAGGGTCTTTGAGCACAAGAAAAAACATAAGAGGTAAACGAAACAAATTTGATTTCGATTCACCACCACATAATAACCAAGCTGGTGAGTTTGGATAAATTTGTTGTTCTCCCTCTCAGTCCATTTCTTCACTATCTTTTAGTGAATGAGAGAGATGAATTGCAATTGTAATTAGATCTTACCTTCCAATATATTTTGGAACAAATCTCTGGCATGTTCATTTTTTCTTATTATGATATATTTTTCTGCTATACCAAATTACGATTCTAATTTGTTCAAATAATTTGTTTTTTTTTTCATCTGAAGATTATCATTAACAATTGAAAAGCAAAGTACAGAAAAATTCAAAGCCACTGAAATGATCTGCAGATGACATGTTTTGATTTCCTAAATCAAGTATGTGGATCCAATTGTTTGAGACTTGGAATTGTGGTTTTAAGAAAAACAAACAACATAAAGCGTAAAATCATTTATTTTGGTTGTGGAAATTTTAAGGAGAGAGCTTAGGATTTTAGAAAGTTTAAAATCTGATCGAAAATAAATTAATTTTAAAGACTTTATAATTAAGCTAAAGTCTCAACAGCCTTCACAATTTAATCACCAATAGGATCCAAGATTTTAACAAAAAAAATACTTCCTACAAAACAGGAAAACTAGTTTTAGATGTTTTCACAAATTTCAAAGAGAAACCAAAATTCATATTTAGTTGGTTTTGTAAAAGGTGTACGAGTTTTTTCACATATATATTTTATTATTTTTGTAAATATCAATATAATATACGTGACAATTAATTGTGTATATTTTCTAACTTTTTGTTTAAGTAAAGTTATTTGATGATTCTGTTTTTTGGTAAAATATATATTTTACAAAAATGTAATAAACTAAACTAACAAGTTAATATATTTTTCTTGTCTTTTTAAAATAATTTTTAAAATATTTTAATACATTTTACTAGAAAATATAAAATTTCATAATATTTTGTTAAATTGCCTTAAAATAAATCATCACATTTTTAAAACGAAAAAGTATTAATTTCAAAAACAAACCAAAAGTTTTCGAATTAAAATATACAAATCAAAAACCAAAAACTCAATACACAATTCAAATATTAAAATAAAAAAACCAAAATCTAAAACTAAAATCTTAAATCAAAAACCAAAATCTATAATATACATGAACACTAAATGTGTATACTTTCTAACTTTTTGTTTAAGTAAATATATTTTATGATTTATTTTTTCGTAATATATATATATATATATATATATATATATTTTTCAAAAATGTAATTAACTAAAGTAACAACTTAATATATTTTTTTATTTTTTAAATTCAAAAATTACTATTTTATTATATTTTACTAAAAGATCTAAATTTTGATAATATTTTGTTGTACTGTCTTAAAAATAAATCATCACATTTTTAAAACAAAAAAATATTAATTTCAAAAACAAATCAAAAATTTTCGAACTAAAATATACAAATCAAAAACCAAAAACCCAAAACACAATCCAAATATTAAAAACTCTAAAAACCAAAAACTAAAATTAAAAGCTGATATCAAAAACCAAAAACTAAAAGCTAGAAACAAAAACCAAAAACTACTGAAACGACTGTGCTAATCCGAGTTTAACTATAACCGGTTTTCCGGTCTGATTTCGCACTTCCACGGGGACTACACTTAACCAGGTTTGTTTTTTTTTTTTGTTATAACAAAAAAAAAAGAACTTTTGGATCTGTAAGAAAAATATCGAAAAAACTCTCCGTTTCGTCTCAGAGGAAGAGGTTGCGAGAGAGAGAGATGAAGAGGCCTGTCGGAGCCGAGAAGAAAAGGGTTAAACGATCATCGGGATCTTCATCCTCCGCCGCTAGAGATTCCGGTTCTGATGCTCCACCTAAGGTTTTTGCTCCTCTCTTCTCTCAATTTTTTTGTTTGATCTCTTTCAATCACTGATGGAACGTAAAGTAAAGCACATTTTACCTGTGAAATGTTTAATTTTGTTCACTTGCATGTTTGAAAGTTTGAGTCTTTTGGCCTTTGTAATGTGAATTTAATGATCCCTTTGTGTGGCAATGCTGATTCTGTTTTCTTTGGTTGACTAGAAGAAAGGTGTGAAGAAGGATGTGTTTCAGTTGTTTGCTGAGAAAGTTAGAGACAACAAGGGGTTGGAGTCAAGATGGGCTGTTATGGAGCAAGCACGTGTTGAGTACTTTAGAGGCAAAGATTTCGTGAGCTTCGTGAAGAATCACCCCGAGTGTAAAGAGATTCTTGAAGAAGATAAAGACCTTGACACTGAAGATATCGCCAATGTGTTGTTGGAGAAGAACCTTTTGGTCCGTTGTGATCGTGTTACTAAAACTCTTCGTCCCGGGAAGAAAAAGTTGTCTACTTGGCCTGCTCATCTTGAGATTTTCCGTGTAAGCTTTTTCGGTGTTGGTTGGTTGGTTCATTTGCTAAGCTCAAATATTTCAGGCTTTGATTTTTTTTTTTTTTTTTTTTTGCTGTGCTTTGTAATGCAGGAAGATCAAGCTTTCTCTGAAACAGATGCGTTTTTTGCATGGACGTTTGAGAAACGGCATCCACTGTGGCAAACGCTTTTGTCCTTCTTCTGGCCTGTATTGACTCTTGCAATCTGTTTGTTTCCTGTTTACCCACACCGTTGCAAACTCATTGTTCTCTACTCATGTGCTGGCATTCTTTTGATGATTCTCTCCTTGCTTTTCGGTAAGCTTTCGACATATATATGTATTCTGTTGAATGTGTTGTTGTTTCCACCTTTGAAAGTCACTTTCTCTAGTGTGTTTTTTCGCTCTGTAGACTCTTTATTGGCTCTAGAACTAGTTCTTTTGTACTTGTGAGAATTGGAAGAACGGTGAATTACCACTTAGCACTTCTAGGCAATGATTTACTGGCTATATATGCCTAGTTTATCCTGGTCACGGAGAGTGGTGATACGTATTTTAAAATTGTCTTATACTGAAACTAGGCTTTCTTGATTACCTTGAACGTTGCAGTGAGAGCAGTTGCTTTTGGTGCTATGTGGATTCTTCTTGGAAAGCGTGTCTGGTTCTTCCCAAACATTCTTGCAGAGGAAGCCACATTGAAAGAACTGTTCCGTTTCTGGCCAAAGAAAGACGAGGAAGAACCTCCCAAGTGGACATCTCGACTTTTCTATACAGTTGTGGCTGTTGTTGTCGTCATGCTGCTCAGGCGCCATGCCCCTGATGAGGCTGCTCGCGCCAGGTATACTAACTAACGGACTCTTGTTGACTGAACCTTTACGGGATTCTTGGCCTTCCTTTTGGTTTATGTAGAGGCTGCTGACTTGTGATGATTACCTTTTGTGCATACAGGTACCAAAGAAGGATGTCCAACATCATTGATGATGTCCTTGAGTGGTCACCAAAGCTAGCACTCTCTGGTTTGATGGAAAATCAGCCACCTGTGAACATCACAGAGGCGGCTAACAACTCCTCAGATGCAGCAGGTCCAGACCATACTGAAGAGGCTGAGCTTGACGAAACACAAGCCGAGGAAGAAGCTGAAGACTGGACCAACTCTGATATAAAAACATAAAAAGTTATATATAGAAACAAAAGTTCACTGTAACAATAAGTCAGCCTGTGTGACCAAGACTAGGTGAGTTTTTATAAGAAAGTCTTGAAAGATTTTGTGGTACTCTTTTCATTTTGGCACACTCTGGAATGTAGTTATTTAAACACATAGTTTTGGATTCATAATCTTTTAACACATAGTTTTGGATTCATAATCTTGAACGCAAACCTCCCAACACTTGCTAGTCTACTAGTCAAGAAAAGTATACAAGTATTTGTACAGAACACGAAACAAAAGCTGAGAAAACTCTTTCATGGCTTCTAACGAAATAAGCCAACAAAGAGAAAGCCAAGAATGAGTTGCCTCCAGACAGGTCACTTGATTGCTAGACGAGCTTGAGAAGGATGGTTTGAAGAAAAGCTGTTCCATTGCTGCCCTGAACAGTCTTCTTCTTCCCTTCTCTTATAGGCTGACCTCTGCACCTCGTCGGATTCATCATTCAAAGCTTCAGGTTGATCAGAACTAGATGACGTCGGGGACTGAGTACGAGCAGCATTGCTCCTTTCTCCAGCTTTTTTCTGTGTAGTTTCGGTGTTAGTTTTCTTTGCAAACCGTCCTCCAGTACCCCTAGGCCTCCTTATAGCATGCTGATGCCGAGATTCATGAAGATAAGGCTGTGCAGCACGCAGCCAAAGACATTGGGCAGTGTGATGAGTTCACATTTAGATCAGAGCTCTTGAGAAGCTAATAATAATATTTCATGCTAACACGCAAATCACCTTTCTGGATTTGATTAGCTTCTTCTCTAGTTCTGCCTTGGCACGTACCTGCCTTCGCCTCAGAATCGCCTGGTACTGTTTAGCATTCACGTAAACTGGTTCTTGTGTCATCTCAGGAGGCAGTGGCATTCTTGAATGAGGCATCCCACCATATGGAACATAAGTCTGACATAGGGAAAATGATAGCCTATCAGAAAGAATAAATCTTCTCGCAAAAAAAACTGCATCTTGTTCTTCCCAATAACGACCAACTTAAAAAACAGAGCTCGCTTATTTATCAAGGATACTTGAACAATCCTCACACCATGACACTTTTAAGGTAAGGCAATCTTCAACATGCTAGACTTCAAAGCACCTACTACGACTAGTCTCACAAACCAATAGCAGCCAAGAATAATGATAGATGTCCCACACAATTGTGTCACACTATCAAATCAAATAGTCTTAACTCTTAACAGGAAAAAAAAATAGAAATAAAGTCATATACCAAGGGATATGTTCCCATCATCCCAGCATAATATGGATCCTGGTATGCATTTGAGAATGCCCCTCCCTGCATTATTCATAACCAATGATAAAGAAACTGTAAGCAACCGCAGCTTATACAATTATTCAAAAATTTCATCAGCTAGATCAAAGATTACATGTGTGGTGCTAACAAGTTGAGAGTGAGGAGGTGTTGTATGCACAAGTTCTTGACTATTTTCACTAGCTGCATATCGAAAACACAGCAACAACACTTGGTAAAAACAGAACAGTAAGCAAATCCGCAAAGACAGAGAGAGAAGACAAGTCAATGCACACCTGATTGTTGTGGAGAGGTTGTGTCTTGTTGAGGTTCTTTGGTACCATTTTCATCTCTACTAGAAGTTGAACTATTTATGGATGTATGAGTATGATGATGAAGCTCCTCTGAAACGTTCTGATTCCCACCACTGTCAGATTCTGAATGCATGTCTTCAGTTTCCTATTCCAAAATCTAATCTTGTTAGTGAGTGATGAAAACATGAACTAAAATCAAACAACAACTAAACTCAATACCACTTAGCAAGCAAGCAAAAAAAAACTCAGAAACAATTAAGTGATTGAATTTATAAATTTGAAACACAAAAAGGGTAATAATCAGCTCATGCAAATCAAATCAACCACGAATTGATATAAAAATTCAAACTTTTCAACATACCATTCAATCAAAGAGAGAAATTGAACGTCTCGGAGCCGTCTAAATAAACGATCTGAATTAAGTTTCAGTCAGATGAAGAAGGAGAACAAAAAGAAGAAGCAATTTTAATTGAAATTTTTGTTGTCACGTGTCCGCCACGTGAAAGGTTTAAATGTTAAATAGTGATATAGCTCGAGTGTGAGTCATTGGTCTGAGCATATAACGGGCTTTAAAAAGCGCTGTATTACAGGCCCATCGTTTTATACTACTTTTTATCTTTTTCTTTCAGCATCTTAAACTTTTGTATGCTTTACACTTTTAGCAAAGAGAAAAATAATGATATGTAACTCTTTACATAGATTTGTAGTAACCTGATTGGTAATGGTAATACAGTATAAATGCAAACTTAAAATCATAGAGACTAAAAACAGAGAAGCAGGATAAGTGAAAATGTTTAAAATTTGACTAAAAAAACAATGAAACAATCATTTTATAAAAAAATCATCATTATCATGTCTAATTAGTTATAAAATAAAATTTAAATAAAGTACCTGGATAATTTACGATTTATAGAATTATAAAATCATTCTATTATTGTACGGGGTTATCAGATAGATAATAATCATCATGTTTAGAGATTTTCTTCTTCTGTCAAATATTTTTTCTTCTTTCTTGAGTTAAGTGTAAATGATTTAGCTTTTTCAAAAGAGAAAATTACTAGAATGATACACAAAACCTTGTATATGACTAGAATAGTATATATTTTCTAAAAATTACTAGAATGTTTTTAGACTCCTAGTAAATTGCAATAAACACCCTTGTTTAATTTTGTTACAATTGATACAAATTTTAATTATTAAATCCACATCATAATTTTGACAATCCACGTCACTAACTAATTTGTGTCATCAACAGTTACACTGGAAAATCAACAGTCCCATATCTCCGGTGAACAAAAAAAAAGTCTTAATGTCACATTCTTCTCCGTCACAACTTTCATAAATCATCTTCTCGACCTCGTTAAACCCTAACAGTCTCCGATATCATCTTCGTCGACATCCTCTTCTCTCGTTTCAAACAGTGTTTCCGATATCATAAATCATCTTCTCAACCTCGTTAAACCCTAACCGTCTCCGATATCATCTTCGTCGACATCCTCTTCTCCGCAAAAGTTTCGACGTAATCGTATCTACGACATCATCTTCTCATCTTCTTTGGTATGTTGTGCCTGAGTTTGACTTACGACGTGTCTGAGTTATAGATTATGTTGTTACTGAGTTATTATATAGTGTGACTGAGTTGAGTTATTGATTATGATCCGACTGAGTTATTGATTATGATCCGACTGAGTTATTGATTATGTTTTGGCTGAGTTATTGATTACTCTAGCTGAGTTATACATTATGTTGTGGCT